CAGCCTCAAGGCCACATGTGGCCCTCTAAATCCTCAAATGTGGTCCTTTGACTGAATCCAAACTTTATAGAACAAATCCCCTTAATAAAAGGATTTGTGGCCTTGAGGCTGCCAGTTTCCTACCCCTGTCTAATATCTCAGTGGACCTGCCCCAATCCAAGCTGCTCTTTTTGGCTGGGTTCCTATAGCCATAGCTTTAGGAAAGACTCAGGCTGGGCAGGAAATGCTGGATGTACTCAAAGTCTGTGCCCTCTGTGATCTACCCTTGATTTACTTTAACTCCAAGGATCTCTGCAAGATTGCAGGGGTCCCTCTGAGGATTCCTATGTTAGGTTGTGGGGAGTCTAAAGGGGATTCTTTCTATTTGTTATGAGATTGGTGCATCTCTAAGCCCCTATGGAGCAGTTGAGGGAGAGCTTGGATTCTCCAAATCCTGGTACACCACCATCTCTCTCTCTCTCTCTCTCTCAAGAACATCTGCATTAAGGGACTGGGAAAAGGATGAAGAGCCATATAAGTAGTTAGGGAGGCAACAGGAGAACCAGGACAGTTGTATCTCTGATGCAAATAAAAAAGTATTTGAAATGATGAAATAGTCAACACATTCAGATGCTGTTTACATAGAGGTTAAGGAAAATGAAAACTAAAATAGATGACTAGATTCCGTGATTTAGGATGTCCCTGGTGATTCTATCCCAATTATAGTAAAATGGTGGGGATAGAAGCAAGACTTTTGCATAAATCAGTTTCTTGTTGTTGATCAACTATTATCTTGAGTATGTAATAAGGCAGCAGACAAAAGCATTGGGTATATCCATTTTTCTCCAGAGCAGTGAAGAGAATAAAAGAGACTGAATCTGGGCAATGTTAGAAGTGTCCAAGGAAGTATTTTTTAGTATTAAGAGACCTGAGTTAGTTTGTTGGTGAGGGGAAAGTGCCAGTGACTGAAATATATGAAAGAGAAGTGATGACTGCTAGATGGACCATAGTCCTGGAAAGGATTGGAGAAAATGGGGTCAGTGACAGGTGGTACAAAGGATAGAACACTAGACTTGGAGTCAGGAAGATCTGACTTCAAATCTGGCCTCAAGACACTTATGAGCTGTGTGACCATGCGCAAGTCATTGAACCTCTTGCTTGCCTCAGTTTTCTCATCTTTAAACTGGGGATAATAATAGCACCTACCCTCATATAGTTGTTGGGAGGTTCAAATGAGACGTCTGTAAAGCACCTTGCAAACCTTAAAAAGTATTACATAAATGCTAGGTATTGTTGTTGTTGTAATTGTTATTATTAACATGTACACAGTAACACCTTTTCTGAAATGGGAGGGAAGAAGGAGAAAGTTGAGTGATAATGTTGAACAGTTTTGAGGAAGCCTGCTGAGGAAGGGATTTCTTCTTCTCATTGAATTAACAGATAGGTTATCTTCTCTAAGTGTGAGGAGTGAGGTATACAGTCATGTGGAAGGGAGAAGAGAAGGTTTGGAACAATGCCTGTAAAAGCAGATAAGGATAGAGAGAGTAAAACTTTTTGAGAACCCAGTTGAGGTTGTGTGCCATAAGTTTTGTGATTAACTTGACTTAATTTCATAACTTTCTCCAACAAACACTCAGAAATCCTGCTCCAGGAACAAAGACTTTATATGAGAGATTATCAAGAGGTGAAAATTTGTAGGTCAGAGGGACAAGGGATTCTAGGGTAGTAATTAGTGAAAAATTAAAGTAGTAGACCATGTGGTGAAGGCTGGGTATGAAACAAGTAAAACCACAAAAAAGATGATGTTGAAAAACACTAGATTTTGAGTCAGAGGGCTTGGTTTCAAAATTGAGCCCTGCCACTTTGCTACTTAAAAGATTCTGGAGAAGTCATCTAACTTTTCTGGGCCATTGATTCCTCATCTGTAAAATAAGGGGGTTGGAGTAGATGACCTTATAGTTCCCTTCCTGTTCTAAATTAGGATTCTATTGTCTTTTCCCACTCAAGGTTATTAATGGTTTCTGTTGAGCAAATCAAAAGAAGTAACTGACTTTGCTGGTGTTTTTTTGTCTTGGAAACTGATTATGCAAGTGATGGGGGCAGGTAGCAAGAAAAATTTCAGCTAAGATGTAAATCAGATGAAAATTCAGTCTGTATAGCTCAAAAACAAGAGACAGTTACTTTTCTTCTAAATTGAGAAATGTTTTAAAGTGAATTGCACCTCCTATTTTGTATCTGGGTTTAAATTACAGGATCATAGGAGGAACATCAAAGATTATTTAGTCTAACCCCTTAGTTTACAGATGAGGAAACTGAGACCCAAAAGGTTAAGTGCCTCAATATCACCTCAATATTGTCTCAATATCACAAAGGTAATAAGTAATCATTTTAACTCAAAATCCATTTTTTCCTTATGAAGTTTGGTTGAAACCCTTTATTTTTTCCCTAAAAAATCAACAGGCATATTGTTAGAAAACAAAAACACCCTAATAATATAAAGATCTTCAAATTTTCCAGGAAAACCAAAAACCAAAAATATCAGAGATTAAGATGTAAAAGTACTGTTAAATTCCCAAATACACAGAAATGGTCACAATGCCCAACGATTTAAGTATGTATCACACCAGAACATAAATCAAGAGACCAGTTCCTGCTAAGTTGCATTTCCTAATGAAGGGAACTTAAAAACAAATAAATCCCTCAAAGTTAAGCATTTTAAATACATCAAATGAAGTACCACATCCTGGAAGAGGGCTATAATAGCCACAGGTATACAGATCAGGTCACAGAATGAAATACTAAATACACTCTACTGAAGTTTCAGTGCATTCCTTATTTTAGAAGAGATGGAGCAAAAAGTACAAATTGCCAAAGCAGTAAAATACTGCATCAAATACTGCATCACAACAAAATCCTAAAAGCCGAGAGCCCTTCATAAGGGAAATGGGTTTGGACGCCTACCTTCCATCATACAGTTAGCTCCTTGGGGATTCAGAAACAATGAAGGACATATTCTGACCTACCTCCACAAAAGGCTCCTGGTCAGGTCTGGCATAATACAGGATCTGAATGTCCAAGGCCATCTGCTTTGGCCTCATCGTCGAGTAGTGAGCGTTGCTGGTTCTCACAACCTCTCCCTCTGGAGGGCAAAGACTTTGGTTGCCTGCACGAGGCAGTCAGCAGCTCAGAGTGGCTGCTGCTACCAGAGTGGTTGCTACTACCAGAGTGGTTGCTACAAGAACTTCTGCTCTATCTAGTTTCCTGCATGAGTAAGTTTCTATTTCCCTTAGGATAGGGTTCACCATTCTACAGGAACACACCCAAATTAGGATTGAGAGTAAACACTGACTTCCTGTTAGATATAGGCCCAAGGCTATAAAATGAGCTTTCACCTTTCAAACTTAATTTCCTAATTGAGGTTAACAAAATCTCATTGTTTTCATCTCTACCCTACACCCCCTCCCCTTTCTGGTGATTTTCTCTCTAACAGTCCCGATGCTTACCTGAATTGCTTTACCCGAGATTTTGGATACTTCCCCCACCCTGATGGAGGTAGTTGCTGAACTGAGAAAAATGTATTACATTTGGAGTCAGAAGACTGGCTTGGCTACTTAGTAGTCGTGTGCCAGTGGGCAAGTCATTAACTTAGGATCTTAGTGCATCTTTTCTGTACCTAACATTACATGGAAGAATCCAGAGCAAGATGAAGAGTCCAAGGCATGGGTCTGCTCCATTGAATAGGTATCTTTAAATGGCTGAGTGCATAAGAGGCAGAATAACAGTGTGTGCTTTTGATAACATGCTTCATCTTGTAAGGAATTTACAACAGAAAGAAAAATGAAGGAGCATTTGATTTCTGAGAAGATGATGTAAGTAGGGCTTTCCGTTGGCAGACAGCCTGGCAAGCTGAGATTAACCCAAAAATGTAAATTAGCTGCTCTTCCCAGTGAATATGGGCCTTTTAATCATCATCCAATAGTGAATACAGTGATACCAGCCTGGGTTTTTCTATTGTGTTTTAAGGTTTACAAAGCACTTTGCTCACAGCAATCCTATGAGGAAGGCAAGGTATGTAAGTACCAGGGGATGCTAATGGTCTTGCTCAAGATGCTCATGAAGGCATCTTGTAGTGCTAAACTAGGTCTGCTATGGACTTGATATTAAGATAGGCCTCTTGGGCCATCTTTAGCTTATCCATCCACTGGCAAGAACTAGAAGAAGGACATGATAGGCAGTACAGTGGGTTCAATGCTAGGCCCAGAACCCTCCCAGAGACACAAATGAGCAGTGTGATCCGAGGCAATCTTCCCACAGACATAAAATATCAGTACGATCATTTAACCTCTCTGGGACTCAGTTTCCTCTTTGACTAAATGAGGTAGTTGGACTCAATGGTCACTAAGACCCTTTCCAGCTCTAAGGCTGATCCATTGATTGTATGGGGAGAAAGAGTATGTGCCTATAGAAGTGGACACAAAATAGACATGATCACTTGGGTTGCAAATTTGCTTAAAAGATACCTGAAACTGAAAAATGACTAAATCGCTTAAAAGGAGATGAACACATTCCTTATTTGCTTTAGGAAGATCTAATAGATATATGTATCATATACAAAAAAAAACAGGAAACCTGCATATATGATGTCACTGTGGCAACGTTATCACAGATGAGGAAGCAGGAAATGTTTCTTGATTTCTAGATACCACATTGGATTAAATGCAAAGGAAAGCCACACAAGCATTATAAAAACACAACAAGTTGTAAAGTTCAGGTTAATTCAATTCAATAAATAATCAATTAGCTTAAATTATAAAGCAACCTCTAGTATTAAGTTTGAGAGTGAGTTCTCATACTTTCTATGCTTAAAAAAGTGGTGAAAAACTCCTTTAGCTTCCTTTTATTCCTCAACTGAAAACTAAGTCTATATATGTGTATAGGTCCTAGGAAGATGCCGGCTACAGAAATCTGTTTGCTTTTCTGAATTTTCTACGATAGCTGTCACAGTTGGGGTGTGCACTCACCTCCCAGCTCTTAGCTGTTGGCTCACTGAAAAAGTTATCAACCATATTCAACTCTTCCTTTTCTACCACGACAAACCCTTGCTCTTTGGCGTCTTTTCCATAAACTTCTGGCGAGCACTGAACAAAGAAGGTATACAAATGATCTACCCTGAAAAACACAGAGGAAAGCGCATAGATTAGTGATCAGATATTAAAAAAAAAACCTAGAAATTTTGATGTGCTGAACTGTGTTATTCTGTTGGGCAAATCCATTCTGCCAATTGGGAAATGAACTATCAACTGTCTGAGTTCTCTCTGCTTGAAGCTTTTCAAATTCTGAAAACAAGGCCCAATGACAGCAATCAGCAGAGATGATGCCCTGCTTGAAATTGTTATATCTGGTAGTTCACTGCTGTAGGAGAGTGGCGCCATTCACCAGCCCTAGAACAAAAAACCGAGGGGCCACATAATAAAAAGCTGGAATCCATTAACTCTTCACACCAAAGGTGGGGATGTTTTCCATGAAAGTGAGAGGTACAATCTAAGCTGGGAACAAAGAGGTCATGTTCAGATGAAAGGCTTTTTGTGGGTCAAGTATATTGTCATTTTCATAAAACATTGTGATGAAGAGATAAGCAGGAATAACATTAGATGAGGCTTTATTACAACCATAAGAAAGGCACTTTTACTTCATTAGGAAATAAATTTAACTCATTTCTTAGTTTATCCCTTGCTTCTAATTTTTTCAATTAATTTTTTTTTTGTTAACAAAAATCCATTATTTTTTTCTCTTTTCCACTTTCCCCTTCTTTCCACTAAAAAAAGAAAAACAAAATCCTTGGAACAAATATGGAGAGTCAAGCAAAGCAAAACAAATTCCCACATTGGTCATATCAAAAAATGTTTTTCATTCTGTACTTGTCCTCAGGAGCTGGGTAACATGCATCATCCTTGGTCCTCTGGAATGATAGTTGGTCCTTGAGTTGATCAGAATTCTAAAGCATTTCAAAGATGTTTGTCTTTATAATGTTGTTATTAATGTATAAATTGTTCTCTTTATCCCTTGCTTTTTAAATGATGGAGTACATTAAGGTTATGGAATATTCTATTAGGGTTTAATCAGTTCATACTGATTCATTTTAAATTCATTGTAATTTTTTTACATAGAAGGCATTTAGCAGAATGGGGGGGGGGGGAAGGGGAGAGAATGGTGCTGCTGTTGTCTCCCTCTTAAAGTCATAGGTTTTAAAAGCCTGAGAGTATAGGGAGGATTTTCAACATTAGAACATCAGCTCCTGACCACAACATTATTCAAACTATCTCCTAATGCATAGTTAATATCTCCTAAAATTCTTAATGGGAGTTCTACTAATAAAATATGGACTGTGACTATAACTAAAAATATTTAGCCCACAAGAATCTAAGAATCCCCACATAATTCCAGGCTCCTGTCAAGGTACATCACTGACCTGGAGTTATTCTCTGCTTTGGCCACTATTGATGCTGCTAAGGACTTTTACATCATCCTTTTTTCATGTCTCTAACAATGACTATCATAGGGGCAAAAGGGCAAAAACTAGGGCTTAAAGAGGAGGGAGGGAAGAGAAAGAGGTTTTTGGTAACATTGTCTTGGTAATGCCTATTCTTAACAGAAACTACAAAATAGAGTACTGTGGTCTCTCATCCGTGGAAAAATCCTACCTTGGCAGAAGCACCTAGCAATCTTTCCAGAAATGCTTGATGTACAGAGGTATCAGTTTTATGCTGGTGTACATTACTTTTCCCTAAGTCCAAAGACACAAATTCATGTCCAAGCAGTCTTAGGATTATAGGATCATCACTGTCTAGAGATGGAAGGAAGGACCTTAAAGACCAATAGTCCAAACCCTTCATTTTACACATGAGGGAACAGAGGCACAGAGGAGGAAACAGAGGAGGTTGTATTTTGCCCAAGGTTACATAGCCCGAGTCATACCAGTGGGGCTAAAGTAATGTCTGTGGGTGACACTGGGTACCACTGGCAAGCTGAAGCATAACCAAGGCAGGAAGAACAAAGGCAGGAAAAAATAATGCAAGAAAGATGGAAAGAGAAGAGGAAAAAGAAAGAAAAAATAACAAGATACATGAGGTCAAGAATGGTACTATAGTACTAACAATAGCTTCAGGTGCCACTCCCTGGCTCTAGTGTCATAGATAGCCTATCCTAGCCCTATAAGCTCAATTAGGGAGAGTAAAAAATGGTGGCATCAACACTAGATTTAAGACTATAACACTCAATCGACTTTCACAAATCCTTTTTAAAGACCAGTTAATGGGGCAGCTAGGGGGCGCAGTGGATAGAGCACCGGCCCTGAAGTCAGGAGGACCTGAGTTCAAATCTGGCTTCACACCAAACACTTGACACTTACTAGCTGTGTGACCCTGGGCAGGTCACTTAACCCCAACTGCATTTAAAAAAAAAAAAAAAGACCAGTTAATGGCAAAGGAGTGGGATTTCAGGGTTGGGATAGAAGATGACTAATTTTTTTTTTTTTCTGATGAGGCAATTGGGGTTAAGTGACTTGCCCAGAATCACACAGCTAGTAACTGGTAAGTGTCTGAGGCTGGATTTGAATTCAGGTATTCCTGACTCCAGGGCCGATGCTCTATCCACTGCGCCACCTAGCTGCTCCCAAAGATGACTAATTTCTAAAGAGAATTAAGGGAGATGGAGATATCAGACAAGCATAATCTGAAGTGGGCAACCCAGAAGTGAGCATTCATATGGTATATGTAGTAAATTCCCAGATTTTCCTAAGCAGCACAAGGCTACAGTGTAACATAGCTGGTTTGCCATGAAAGCTTACTCCCAAAGATTTAAAGAATGGCAACTGGCTATTTTGCACCCCCCCCCCCCCAAAAAGCATTACAATTCAATCGATAGCAGGATTATTGACTTTTAAATCTAAGGCTTCTGGGGAGACAAGGTGAAGAAGTTATGTTTCCTCTCTTATCCCACCTTTCCTTCCCAATATTCCAGGGTGGTGATAGAGCATTCTTATTTTAGTTCAGAAGCCTATTTCTTACACTTACATTCTTTTGTCATCCGGGTTTCCTTAGCAAGATGGGTTAGGTCACAGAATGTTGTACTGCCCATTATCTAATCCTATGATCTAAAAGGTGTTGTTTCCCATTCTGGCCTGTAGATGGCCTCAGAGTCCTGGTTTTAATCAGTCTAAGAAGCAGAACCCATGTTCACTTTTGGACTCTAAGGTAACCTGTTTTCTTAAAGTAAATTAGTTTGGATGTCTCACATATCCTTTTTTTTTTTTTCTCTTGCTGTTAGTCTTAAGGGAAAGAAATAAAATCCTTTAGAATGTTGTCAGGAGGAGAGTGAACACAGTTGTCTCCTATTCTGGCACTTCAAACTACATTTCTAGGAGTTTGAAAAAATACCTAAGAATATATTTCAGGGGGAAAACCAGAAAGGAAATATGTGTGAATACTATGGTTGAGTTCCTGAAACCACATACTTCCACTTCTTGTGCCTGCTTCTCATCTTTGAGGAAAAGATTACAGCAAGAAAAATAACTTACATTTTTATAATATTTTAAGGTTTGCAAAGTGCTTTTCCCACAAAGACTCTGGGAAAAAAGGCAGTGCATGTATTATGCCCCAGAAGAATGTAAACTCCTTTAGGGCAGGGACTATCTTATTTTTGTCTTTGTATCCTAATGTCTGGCATGGTGGCACTAATATCCAGGTACAGGGGCTCCATGTATGTTGGTGGTTAAGAAGGCAGGAGTCAGAGCCAGAAGTAGCATTTTTTTTTCACTCAGGCTAAGTGGCACAAAATCTACCTCATCAAGGAGCAAGTAAAATGATCTCAAATAAACTTTTCAAGGCTAATTCAGTTGGGGGCGTGGGAGAAACCCTAGCAACCATAGGTGGAAATTCTATGATGACATTGAAGCTGTAGAGCGAGCATGGGGCAACAATTCGCTTGGGGTATAGGCAGGAGTGTGCTGGTAAATGTTTAACATGGAGCTCTGCAAAATGTATGTGCAGGACACATTATTAAGTTTAATCTGCAATATTAGCATTTTCTCCAGTCTAGAGCCAGGGGTGGGGAACCTTCGACTTTGAGATTAATAAAAGGATCCCTTTAATAAAAAGATTTGTTTTGTAAAGTTTGGATTCAGTCAAAGGGCCTCACTTGAGGACCCAAAGCGCCACATGTGGCCTTAAGGCCACAGGTTCCCCACCCCTGCTCTAAACAAGTAACAAAAACAATGAATTAAAACCTGATTCATAGCATTCGCAGATTTCTAATGCATAAAAGCTCACAATGCAAATCTAACAACTGGCCTGTATAAGCTGGTTGCAGAACCCCCTTGGGTATAGTCCACTGGGGGAAGAAGTACACCATCTTGTAGCTTCCTACTTCAACTAATTATTTTTGTAAGTAAGGGCTAAGCTCTGTTGTTTTTATGTTGCTGGAACTAGAACCTGGGCATCCTGAATACTCCTGTGTTGTTTCCATCCTACCATCCTACTCCCATTCCATAATTATGAAGGTGGTCAAACCATTTACCCTTCTCAGATGCTAAGGTCAGCCAGATAGACAGGAGAGTATCCTAGGACAAATCGATCATGGGAACCTCTGCACCTGGACTGTCTCAACAGCCAAGCAAAACAATGACTTCTCAACTCCCTCCACCCCTTCACCTCACTCTGCTCAAATTTTAACATTTTGTCAACCTTAGCAGAGAACTGTAATTAATGTAGAGCTTCTTCACCCAGCTGTGGAAAAAAGCTGCATTCCCTTCTTTGGATATAGAGAATTTGGTGATTAGTTTATCCTTTTAATTTCATGGGCAGGGTCACTAGGAAAGTTTTAAGTAACAGTGAAAATGGCCTGGATATTGCTGAGTCCCAGTGTTGATGATTTGGCTATAAGGAAGCATTTTATTTCTAAAATTGGTAGCTGAACTTTTATATCGGGAAGAACTTTAGATTCAAGGGTTCAAATCCCCACTTACTAGCTATGATGTCGGGCAAGGAGTTGAACCTTTCTGATTTCTTTATCTATAAAATATCAGGATATGACTTTTACTACAGCATTGTGGTGATGCAAGCTCTTAAAAGTACCATAAAAATCTGACTTCTTATTAGCCACAAGAATTACAT